CTGTGTTGCTTGTAAATGCCATAAAAAGATCAGATACATATGGGCAAAAAAAATCAGTTTGGGGTCACTTCAGGCGGCTGTGTGAACGTAGCCTAAGTCCTAGTCAGCATGGTTTTCCCAGCTTTTGTCATTCCACTGTCACAAGTACCGATCAACAAAATTCCCTCTCTACATTTAACCCAACCCTTAGGGGAGCAGTGGGCACAATGGTGTGGGGTTAAAGGTCTTTGCTCAGGGAGCCAGAGTGGCAGAGGGCCTTGGACTCAGAACCTCTGGATTCATAGCTCAGTGTCCTATCCACTAGGCCACCACTCCCTTAAGTCTAAAATGTGTTGTGAAATGTCCTTATAGAGATAAACTTAATTGAACTATGGTGAATTCCCAATACAAAAAAGTTAAAACCTGCTGGTGAAAAGTATTCAATTGCATATTCCCCCCAGAAGCTGACCCCAGCAGAGAGCTTTCAGCAGGGTTTTCCATTGCTGCTGCCAGCCCATATGCTGGAGGTATGGCTCTCTGAACAAGAGCTGCATATTTTAGTGGGATCAAAACCCTGATAAACCAACTGCACAGACGGTCATTTTTCATTTAGAAACTTGTTAAAATTATTATCCAAGCTGCTCTCTGTCGTGTAACTTCAGAACAAAGCAGATAAACGACCAGAGCACCGAACATCCAGTGTGTTGAAGCATCAAAACAACTTGTTAGACAGCTCACCTCTCTGAGACTAAAGGTCCAGCAGATTTAAATTCAATAAAATCATCCTTTGACTGATCACTCTTCAAGGACCCACAGCTGGTTTCTGGTTTCGGTTCCCGTCTTTGTTGGATCCTGTCATAACAATAAGTAAAACACATTCAGTCAGATTATTTTCATATACCATCCAGCATTTATATTTCAGACTCACTAGGACAGGAACCAGGCTGATAAATGGCTCTAGATCTAGTTGTCTCTAAGGTAAATAACAGCATCATGTTTATTGTCTATTAAGGTTTGATGCAGAACAACTCTGGGTAAAACTGGGACCATATGGGTAACATTTAAACAGGTTTCCTCAGACCTATTAGAGAGTCAGTCAGTTGGTTCTGTTGATCTGGATCCGAGTAAAGGTTCTTCCATCAATGTCTGATCAGCTGTCCTTCTTTGTAGGATG